AGCCAGCCGACCTAAGGGCACCTGAAGTCTGGACACAGCCACTAAAGTCCCCTCACTCTCTGGGGATCCACAAGGACTCTGGAGTTGGCTGCTGGCAAGAGAAGGCAGCAAAGGGCCTTCCATAAATTTATCTCACTCTGTATTTTCAAATTCACCCTCTAGTCAGCTCTGCTGTAGTGCTAACTTTGAAAGTGCAGTTTTGTTGCAAGGCCATTGACATGCCAGGAACCTAAAGTCACCTCGACTTATGTGCAAAGCAAAAAAATGGTGAACGACATCTGGTCAGAGCAAATCAAAGGAGTTGCAAATACACATGAGGACACCCCAGATACACAGAGGGGCACACAGCAGGCCACCTGCCCCGCACTACTCTCTACCTGTGTCCTTCCTTCAGCCCCTGCTTCTAGCCATATTATGGATTTCCTCCCCACACAAGGTAAGCCTGAACAGATCTGTGCTTCTGAGGATGTCTTACATTGTTACACTACAGAATACATAAAGCAACAACTGTAGTCTCTGACAGGACAAGAGTTGATCGATTCTGTTTGTTTGTTTGTTTGTTTATACTTATTTGATTAGTTGGCTAAGTTTTTTTCAAAACCGGGTATCTCTGTAGTCCTTGCTGTCCAGAAACTCATTCTATAGATCAGGCTGGCCTCAGAAATCCGCTTGCCCCTACCTCCCAAGTACTGAGATGAAAGGCGTGCAATTATTGATCAATCTTAATTTGTTAGTAGTTTAAAAATAAAATGAAAAAAGACAGCCAGACCCAGTGGCCCATGCCTGTATCACACCAGTCACCTAGGGGACTAAGGAAGGAAAACTGCTTAAGACCAGGTGTTTGAGGTCAGCCTGGGAAACACAGAAAGACCCTCTTTCAAAAAACCAAAAACAAACACAAAAATCCAGGCTGGGGATACAGATCCGTGGTAGGAGTGTACACAAGTGTTTGGATTCAGCACTGAAGAATACAAAAATAGTAATCTATCAACTTAGAGAGACTTTCCTTTTTCTTTTTAGTCCTTTTACCTCCCCCACCACCATTTTGATTTTACAAATTAACCTTTTAAAAGCTTAGAGAGCCGAAGCAATCTCCAGAAAGCAAAGACATCACCTGGCACGATCCTGGCTCTTTCTGTTTTATCCTCTGTGGCCCCTCAAAGCACTGGAGCATGTGATTTGCCAGCACCACTGCACTAGGCAGTGCCGAGGACACTGCTTTGCACTGTAGAGACTAAACACTTCCTCTCCCCCCCAACCCCACCTCAGAGAAGATGACTGCTCACAACAAGAACTCTGAAAACATGTCATCACCCATGAGCCTCATTTTGAATTCGAGTAATGAACCAGAAATGATTTTCTTTCAGAACCAACTTTGCATCACACAAGAATGGAGTGAGGATGGCTGGACTAAATCGATTCTCTTCTCTTCAGGCCAAGGCTGACTGACAAAGACTTGTCAGAAAGCAGAGGGGAGCGTGGAGATGTGGGGAGTGGTGGCAGGGTGCACACCTCTAATCCCAGCACTCTGGAGGCAGAGGCAGGTGAGTGAGTTTGAGGCCAGCCTCCTCTACAGAGTTCCAGACAGCCAAGACTACACAGAAAATCCAGGCCAAGGAACCAGACAGTAGATAGAGGTCATGGCCTTTAATTTGAGAGGTCTTAGTTTAAAAAGAAAAAAGCCTACAGAAGTCCTCTATGAGGGACTGAGGTCTGCAGGAATGAACTTCAGTTAAAACATCATAACATATACTAAGGTCAAGGCGACAACACAGACATGTGTCCTTCAATAATGGGGGCACATCTGACAAATACATCATCAGGTGATTCTGTCATTACAGGAGGTATAGCATGTACTTACACAATCAGAGATGACCTGGGCTCCATGGTGCGTTTAGGCAGAGATCACATCTGCATGGTATTTACTAACCTATTGTTTCCAGTGCCATGTTGAACAAAATGGCACAAAATTCAGGGCTGGGAAGATGACTCCATTGATAAGAGCTTGCCTCACCAAAAAAAAAAAAAAAAAAAAAGCCTGAGTTCAAATCCCAATACCAAGCGTGGTCATACAAAGCCTGTACTCCCAAAGCTGAGGAGGCAGAGGCAGGAAGATCCCTGGGGTTCTCTGACCAGGTAGTCTAGCTCAATCTGTGAGCTCCAGGCTCAGTAGAGACCCTGTCTCAAAAAATACTGTGGAGAGTGATTCAGGAAGAATCCCAATGCCAACCTCTACTCTTTGAATACATGTGCACACATGTGCATGGAGACCTGGACACTTACGGGCACACAAATAACAAAACAAACAGACAAAAAAAAGAAACCCCAAAAACTCAAAAGAAAACAAAAACTTGCTAGGTGGTGGTGGCACATGCTTTTAGGGAGGGAAAGGCAGGTAGATCTCTGAGTTCAAAGCCAGCCTCCTCTACAGAGGGAGTTCCAGGACAGCCAAGACCACACAGAAAATCCTGTCTCAAAACAAACAAACAAACAAACAAACAACAAAAAAAACAAAACAAAAAAACAAACAAAACCAGAGCAAAACAAAACCCTTAAACACAAAGTGAAAAGATACTTAAGAGAGAGGGCAAACTGAAGACAGGTGAGCTCCTGTCAGCCTAGCAGGACGCTCTCTGGGAAACTTTAAAACATTCAAATGTGTTCTAAAATAACACCAGAGAGCATCTCCTAGTAGTTACACAACAGTGGGAGTCACCTGTCATCCTTGTCAGGCATCCTGCACCCTAAGCCGCCCTACATGTCACATTTCTATACATGTGATGCAAGCATCACGGCATGCAAGGCACAGCACTGCCCAACAGAGGTGTCTCTGCTCCTTTCTAGTCTCAGGGGACCATCTTTGTGCAACCGATCACCGACCCTGACAAACTGTCCAAGAAAGAGCACCAGGTGTCAAGTGACCCTCGGAGGTCTCCCTTTCCCTTGTCTTGCCTCAGAGCCATCTCCCAGCTTTGGGAACTAAGACCACTCTTCAAAGGGGTCTCTATGCCTCGGAGAATGGGAACCAACAGAATAGCAGATGACCGGAGAGCTCCCATCCTTGAAACTGCCTGAGAACAGAGTTTTACCCAGCAAGTTGAAACAACAACAGAGACTCTTGCCCGTTAGAAAGCAAAGTTCTGCCTGCACTCAAGTTTAAATAAAAATGAACTATAGAAAGCCAGAACAGGACACTTGGGGATGAAGGGCAAACTAGAGACAGATGAGGTCCTGCAGTCTAGCAGGACGCTTCACGGGAAACTTGCACACAGTTGAGAAGGATCTGAAGTAACGAGTGAGAGCTAACATAGTAGATACACAGAAGGTGACTCAAAGTCCCTAACAGAGGAAAAAAAAAAAAAACATGGAGAGCCAAGGGCATGCACAGACGAATGGCTGAGCATTAAAGATGGCGAGTCAAGCTGGGAGCTCTCACGGTGCGCAGGATACTTCTACAGGGGCAGGCAGCATCAGAGAGAGCTGAGAGGCTGGGGACCATTTCCTGACCTCACCAGGAGAATGTAGCAGGGGAGCCAGACCTGGAGGGCAGATGAGAGGGTAGCCTGGCCTGGTAGCCCTCAAATATGGGTAAACCCTTCAGCCAAAGTGTTCCATTCAGTTGGAATGCCAGGTGACCTCTGCTTGACTTCTGCCCTAGTGGGGTGGGGGTTCCTCAGCCCTCCCACAGGAAGTGCAACTCAGAGAAGAGGTCTCCAAGGGTCTGACTGGCCTCCAAACTGCCACTGCTCCAAGCCGCTGGAGCACTGTAATCTGAGTGCTGAGTGGGGCCTGAGTCTTAGCGCCTTTCGGTTTGTTTTGTTTTGTTTTGTTTTGTTTTGTTATCCGAGACAGGGTTCCTGTGCAGCCCTGATTGTCCTGGAACTCACTCTGTAGACTAGGCTAGCCTCAGACTCAGATCTGCCTGCCTCTGCTGGGATTGAAGGTGTGCATCACCACGCCCAGCTGAGAGTCTTGGTTTCTAACAAGCTTCCCAATGGTGCTGTCGCATCTCTCCTAGAGAGCACACTTCTGGGACAAAAAGCAGACCAAGTCTAGCATACCAACCTCAAGTCAAAGTGAGCAAGCCCCGACTTGGGGAGCTGGAAAAGCCCTTTCTGGGGTCCAACATCCTGAAAGGGTCAGTAAGGCCTCCACTACAGACGCCCTAAGGACAGTGACCTATGGCTTAGGAGGGCAGCTGAACTATGGGAGTCTCTCAATAAAAGTAAGGGATGCCAGGGTGCAGTGGCCAAGCCTACAGTCCAAGCTACTCCAGAGATTGAGGCAAGCAGATCTCAAGTTGGGAGAGGAGACCAGCCTGAGCAACACGACTCCCTAACGGGGTGGGGGGGTGGGACATGGGGAGTGGGGGGGAACTTTTTCCTGGAGGAAATGAAAAAGGGTGGAGTCAAGATGAGTTAGGTACTTTGAACAACAACCCAGGCACTCAGAATTGGCTCAGAGGACCAAACCCCAGGAGCTGTCCGTCTGCACACGTGTCTACGTGGAATCATCTCTGCCCCACCCACTCCTCCTCAGCCTGTCTTCCTCCAGGGGAGAGGTAACTGCAGACAGGGAGCCTCTGGTGACTCAGGCGTCCAGAAGCCAAATCTGTGCCCTGCAGCTGCAGTCACAGGACCCTGTCCTCGCTTTCCGTTGAGCCTTCTAAGCCCAAGCCTGTCCTCACTCACTCCAGGGCCCCTCTGCCCTCCCCGAGTACCGGTCGGTCTAGGCTCATCTTCTGGAGTGTCTTCAACTCCCAACCCTCCCAGACACAGCCCAAAGTCTAAACATTTCCACAACATCGGTATAGTCCCTCTTTAAAAGATGTATCCCTATCACCGTGATCCTGGAGATGCCTCGGGTAGCCCCCTGGGATGCCTCGGTCCTACAAACGTCCCTTTGTGCCCTGTTCGGGGCACACAGGAAGTGCTCAGAAGCAGCTGCGCGGGGGTCAGGGGCTCGCAGGACCTGGCAGGCTCAGCAATTGGGACCCTCACCTTGTAAACTTTGCCGAAGGCGCCGTCTCCCAGCTCGCCCACGATCTCCCATACATCGTTGGGGTCCAGGTCCCGGCGGACGTGCTCATATTCACGGGACTTTCTCTTCTCGAAGGTGGATAGCCGCAAGATGCGGCGGAAATTAGCGAAAGCCATGCTGGATCAGGAGCGCGACAACAGGACGAGCGGCTTCGGAGAGCCGCCCTCCCCGCAGCGCAGCACCGGCCGAGTACGCCCGCGGCCGCAGGGAGCTGCCGGAACCGCGGCCAGCCCGCCCCGCCCCGCCCCCTCCTGGACCCGCCCGCAGGACGCCCGGCACCCGCGCGCGCGCCTGTCCCCGCCGGCTCCACCTGCTCCGCGGCGCCCCGAGACCCCCTCAATTGGCTGCGGGAGCTCGCGGCTCCGCCCGCGCCGCGGGGCACTCTGGAGACTGTAGTCCGCCCCGTGGCCGGCCCCTGGGCCCGCTGCGCCTCCCGGAACCCCAAACCACCGGGGTTCAGCTGGTGTCGCAACGGTCGTCGGGTCCGAGCTGGTGCAACAGCGCACAGAATGCGCCCGCAGAGGCCTGGCTCGCCACCTTCCCGCGCGAGGCACCCGCACCCCTGACCCCGGGGCTCACCCCGGTCCTCGGCTCTCTTTGCCCCAAAGTTCACGCGGTCCCAGATGGCCTTCGCCACGCTTCCTACGCGGGTCTCGTGCTGCCTCTCAGCCGGGCAGAAAGCAGAGCCCCGCGGCTACGCGCCCCGAAATCCGGGCTTTCCCCGCCCCCGCCAGCCACAAGCGGCCAGGACTCTGGACAAGAAACAAGAGTCCCTTTAGGACCTATTAGGTAGGCTTCATGGTAGGTTAGCAAATATATTCCTTATTTAAGTAAAACTTTCTAGTTATTTTTGCGAATTTAAAAAGCCCCATTAGAGAGAAAACCGGAGTCATCTCGGGGACCGTCCTCCTCTATCCTGGCGGAGAGACCCTCATCGCTCTACCTTAGCTGCGGGCGTCCTGCAGATTGCACAATGTCTTTCCCTGGGATCAGAACGTGGGTTCTAGTGACTGTGCTGGGGGCCGGGCAGCTGCTGAGTCTTTGACGGTGACCCTCCCCTCCTGAGCAAGAGCGCCTCACACTCAGGCACCCTTAGCTCGAGAAAGCGTTTAAATTGTTGCTCCCCTTCCTCTGGACTCTGTTCCAAAATAACCCTTGAGCCGCGCGCAAGCGCCAAGTGCTGTTTCCCACTCGGAAAGCCCACTGGAGGGTGAATGCAACCGGCCGGAGAGGGGTGTGTGCGAAGGGCGCCCAGAATAAAGGTTCCTCCAGTTCTGATTGTTCCCGCCACTGAATAAGTGCGGGGAAATTTTATAATTAAAAGAAGGAAATGTCATGCAAAACCATTCTCGTTGACTCAGCCTGTGGACGAGCCAAAGTGTACATTTGTCACTCGGTTGAGTGGGACCTGCTGAAGTCTGTGCAGCTCTAACGGGTGGACAGAGGGTTAGAATGCGCTAACCAGTCCTGGGAGCTCCAGAAGAAAACAAAGTAAGGATAAAAATGGAAAGGTCCGTTAAAAATGTCACGCTACATGAAAGAAGCCAGACCCAAAGATCGCACGAAGTGTGACTGCATTTTTATGACAGGTCCAGAAAAGGCAACGCTGTGGAGAGCCGGGTAAGGGTTGGCTCCTGCTCCCAGACACGCGGATTGACTGGAAATAGCGATGAGGAATCTCACTGAGATGGTGAAAACGCTGGGTGACCGGGCGGGTGGCGGGGGAGGTGGGAGGGGAATTACAGGGGCAGTTCCACAACTCCGGAAACTTGCCCCAAATCACGAGTGACTTTTGTTTTGTAAGGTGTTTGGGGAGGATGTAACTTATGAAGCAAAACCATACCGCAGTAAAAGCTAAATAAAAACAGAACCAAAGCTGCTTTGAAACTTACGTTAAATCAGGGTTTTTTTCCTCAACTGTCTCTGGGTACAGGGACTCTCACACTGATCTAGTGAATGAAGGGCTGTGCCCTTCCCCACCCTATTTTCTGGAACAACTTAAAATAGAAATTAGTAAGTTTGATAAATAGTGGTTTTGATGGGTTTATCTCAATGAATGAGTCTGAGTTTGCAGTTTTATCACAGCCTTTCAGTTTCTTTGGGTTGCTGGCCCCTGTCCTATGCCATTTTTGTGTCGTTGGACTCGGTGGGGGTAGGAGGGTTGGGGGCTGTTTTGAGACAGGGTCGTCGTTCTATGTAGTCCTTGCTATCCTGTTACTTGGGGCTGGCCTCACAGAATTCCTCCTGCCTCTGCCTCCCTAATGCTGGGAATTAAAAGTCAAATTGGGGCCCTACGGCATCTTCTTACCATTTTGTTCTTTTCTTGCCCATTAAAAAATTAGATTTCCTATCTTTTCTTTCTTTCTTTCTTTCTTTCTTTCTTTCTTTCTTTCTTTCTTTCTTTCTTTCTTTCTTTCTTGTTGTTGTTTTTTCTAGACAGGGTTTCTCTGTGTAGCCCTGGCTGTCCTGGAACTCACTCTGTAGACCAGGCTGGCCTCGAACTCAGAAATCCGCCTGCCTCTGCCTCCCAAGTTGCTGGGATTAAAGGCATGCGCCACCACTGCCCAGCCAGCCAATTTCCTATCTTTTCGAGTCTAGGAATTTTATTGTTTGTGCATTGGTGTGTGTGTGTTTTCCAGTGCATGCGTTCACATGTGGAAGTCAGAGGACCACTTGCAGGAATTGGTTCTCTTCGCCCACCATGTGGGTCCTGAGGATAACTCAGGATTATTAACTCAGGCCTCCAGGCTTCCCTGAGCCATCTCACTTTTTAGACATATTCTCTTGTTGTGTCTGTTAACTTTTCTTATGGTATCTTCTGTTGAAGATACATACAAGTAAGTATGTATAATATTGATGTGATCTGGGCTGCTTTTTTAATCTTCATTTGAGTGTGGTATTTCCCTGCTACTGGGGGTTGAACCCAGGTTTTTGTACATAGGAAACGTGTTCTGTGAAGGAACTACACTCCCAAGGTGAGCCAAACTTTTTAACTTAATTTTTTTATTTTTATTTATTTATTTTGTGCTGGGCTGTGGTGGCGCACGCCTTTAATCCCAGCACTTGGGAGGCAGAAGCAGGCGGATTTCTGAGTTCGAGGCCAGCCTGGTCTACAGAGTAAGTTCCTGGCCAGCTAGGGCTACACGGAGAAACCATGAATCATTAAAAAGGAAAAGGGAAAACAGAAACAGAAAAAGAAAAAGAAAAATCAACTTAAGGTGCTGGAGTGATGTCTCCTTAGTGGTTGCTTTTCCAGAGGAAAATTCAATTCCCAGCACCCAGGTGGGCAGAGCATGGCCATCTGTCATTCCAGTTTCATGTGACCTGATGCCCTCTTCTGACCTTCCCAGGCACTGCATGAGGGCAGTGCACAGAAATACTTGCAGGCAAAAACATTTGGGGGGGAGGGGATCAATTTAGGTCAGGCTTGGTGGCGCACATCTTTGATCCCAGCATTCAGGAGCCAGAGGCAAGTGGCTATCTGAGTCCAAGGCCAACCTGCCCTGTATATCAACTTCCAGACCAGCCAGAGTTACATAGTGAAACTCTGTCTCAAAAGAACAAGAATTAAGTTCTTTGAGGTTTCATTTCTATCAGTAGGAATGTTCCTCCTTAAGGTTCACTGTTAAGGAGTTTTGCCAGGACTGGGCTGTCCCACAGTCAGGGTAGAGACTGTCTCCATTCCCTCTTCAGGTAATTCCCATTCCCGCTCCTTTCAAAGTTCTCTTTCCAGTGCTGGAGATTAAAGCCAGCCCCTTGCTCATGAGAGGAAAGTGCTCACACAGTGGCTTGTGTTTAGTTTCTTTAACTCAGCACATTTCTGAGATTCGTCATGTTGCATGTATCCGTGGCTCATTCATATTGTACTGCATGGATATGCCACAGTCATTAACACACTGCCCATCAACCATTGAGGGACAGCTGGGCTTGGGTTCTGTCCATCTGGTCATTACGAATAAAGCTGACGCTTGGAAACGATGGCGTTCAGGACATCTCAAAACATGTCACTTTGTTCCCCTTCATTCAGTGGGTCCCCTCCCTGTCCCTGAATGAAGGTGAAGGCACAGAGATGCTGAGAATCCACTGAACGGACCCTTACAACCATGACTTAATCCTTTCTGACCTCCCACCACACTTTCCTACACATGACCTTCCATTCTTCACTGAGCCTAGACGTCATGCATGCACCTATTTTTGGGGGTCTACATTGCCTTACCTTTTGAACACTCCCATCCTCGTACAACCTAACTAGCAGTCATAACAGGGCTCACCTGTAATCCCAGCATCCAGGAAGTAAAGCCTGGGCCACACAGTGAGCTCTAGGCAGCCTGAGACAAAACAAGACCTTGACTTAAGAACCAACCAATAAAATTCAGTAAACCAATAACAAACAAAAAACAGGTTTTACTAAATGTGTAGGAAGTTTGCCACATCAAACAATTCTCTGTAGACACTACAGGGGGTGTCCTATAAGCTTAATTCTGACATTGGGGAGTTAGCATAGACCCCAAGGTCAGGGAACTGTCTCACAAGACTACTCCACCCTTGGCACACACTAGTCATAAGTCCAGGGTGTTGTCTGGTGTTTTAACCAATCAGTAATAACATTGGAGGGTCCCATGATTTATAAGGTTATGTAGAACAGTGTGCATGCACACATGTGTCCCTCATGTTCATGTACCTTTATGCACATATGTGTGCATACAGACAACCATATATGAAAGGAGTACTGTGAGCTGGAGAAGGCCCAGGGCCGTGGCACACACACCTGTGTATGTACACATTCACACCATAACCAATAAAGTTTTAAAACACAAATTATAAGAAAAAGAAACATACAAGTTTGAAACATGAAATGGTTTATGAAACATGACAAACGATACACAGACCTAGGGTTCCTGACCGAAGTAGTCAGTCAGCTCTTTAGATGTCTGTCTCTCTCTCTCTTTTTTTCCATTATTTTTGTTTTGCTTTGTTTTTTCAAGGACAGGGATTCTCTGTGTAGCCCTGGCTGTCCCTGGAACTCAGTTTGTAGACCAGGTTGGCCTTGAACTCACAGAGATCCTCTTGCCTCTGCCTCCTGAGTTCTGGGACTAAAGGCATATTCTACCACACCACTGCTCTTAGAATTCTCTGAAACCATTATGGAAACAATGCTGATGTGTTCTTTAGGGTATGAG